CCCATTCTCTCTGCAGACCCATTCTCTCTGCAGACCCATTCTCTCTGCAGACCCGTTCTCTCTGCAGACCCGTTCTCTCTGCAGACCCATTCTCTCTGCAGACCCATTCTCTCTGCAGACCCGTTCTCTCTGCAGACCCATTCTCTCTGCAGACCCATTCTCTCTACAGACCCATTCTCTCTACAGACCCATTCTCTCTGCAGACCCATTCTCTCTGCAGACCCATTCTCTCTACAGACCCATTCTCTCTGCAGACCCGTTCTCTCTGCAGACCCATTCTCTCTGCAGACCCGTTCTCTCTGCAGACCCATTCTCTCTACAGACCCATTCTCTCTACAGACCCATTCTCTCTGCAGACCCATTCTCTCTACAGACCCATTCTCTCTGCAGACCCATTCTCTCTACAGACCCGTTCTCTCTGCAGACCCGTTCTCTCTGCAGACCCGTTCTCTCTGCAGACCCGTTCTCTCTGCAGACCCGTTCTCTCTGCAGACCCGTTCTCTCTGCAGACCCGTTCTCTCTGCAGACCCGTTCTCTCTGCAGACCCATTCTCTCTGCAGACCCATTCTCTCTGCAGACCCATTCTCTCCGCAGACCCATTCTCTCTGCAGACCCATTCTCTCTGCACACCCATTCTCTCTGCAGACCCATTCTCTCTACAGACCCATTCTCTCTACAGACCCGTTCTCACAGCGTTTATCAACCTTTTTCTTACTCAATATCAAGCCACACTTATTGTTTCCACTTCGGCTGTGACTGTGTGTGCTCAGGATGAGTTTCGCTGTGTTTCGCTGTGTATCGCTAAACAAAGAAACAACACCTCCACGGAGCTCAGCGCGATTCACAACGTCCCGACCAATCAGAGCACACTGTGCTCACAGGGAGGGAGGGGGGGGGGGGCTGGAACTACAACGAGCCGTTAAAGGCAGAGAGTGAAATTCAGTGAATACACGTAGTTTACAGAGATGCTGAGAAACCAATGTGAGAAAATTGCACAATATACATCTATTCTAGTAGACCTCAACAATGGAATTATGATCAGTGGAAATGGCCATGTCATGTCTCCTTTAACATCAACAAGTTTAAAGTCCTTGAGGCCGTCTTGAATTTTATTTAGATGATTAATTTCATCAGGCTTGTGATTATTTCAGTATTTTTCCCATGTACAAAGATGACCGCATCATCGGCATACATTCGTACATTCAAATCAGGACACACATTAGGCAAGTCATTAATGTAGAGAAAACAGTAATGGTCCAAGAATGGAGCCTTGTGGAACCCCAACAGGACTGACAAGGTAGGGGGATTTGGTACCGTTGACCAAAACACACTGTTTTCTGTTCGATAAGTAAGACTCAACCCACTGAATTGAATCTGCCGAAAAATTGAAATAAGTCAGCTTTGTAAGGAGCACTTGGTGGTCAACAGTGTCAAAAGCCTTCCTGAGATCAAGGAAGACAGCACCTACATATGGGCTCGTGTCCAACATACATTTAACCTTTTCCACAAAGACACAGTTAGCCGTCTCAGTGGAGAGCACGGAAACCAAACTGCATAGGGTGGAGTGGAGCGAAAGCCTTCGTCTAAATGTTTGGTGATTAGTTTTGACACCATTTCTCTGCTACCTTAGAGACACAGGGGAGGATGCTGATTGGTCTGTAATTGGACATCATTGCCTTATCCCCAGACTTAAAAATCGGTGTCACCGTGGCCACCTTCCAGGATGATGGAACTTCCCTCGTGCTGATAGATTGATTCACTAGCATAGTAATTGGTTTTATTAGATCGTCAATATTTGTCTTTATAAAGTTGGTGTCTAAATCATCTGCATCCCTAGCCTTAGAACCTCTTAACCCTAAGATTATATGTTTGACCTCCACCTCTGTGATTTCCTCCAGGTCAAAAACGCGGTGTGTATCCACAGTCGGGCTAGGTGAGACGCGGGAAGAGCTTTGTGATGTCCAGAGCACTATTTATAAAATACTCATTTAGAGAGCTGGCCAACACTGCAGGGTCTTTTATCAGGGCATCATTGATTTTTAATTCTAGAGCATTATTTTCCTGTTTCTTATGTTTACCCAGTGGCGAACCGTCAGGGCCTTCAAGGTATTCAGAGGATACCCTGGAACACTCAGATAAAACAAACAAAAAAAATCGATTTAATTATATAAATAAAATGTAATAAAATGAATAAATGAGAATGGTATCTGTGTTGTTGATCTGTAATATTACAGTGTTACGTTGATTTGTTTGTCCGTCTCGGACCATGCTCTACGCATTTCAGTGGTTTTGTGTTAGAAAAGAAAGCAACCAATCAGATCTTGTTCTGAGTCTCTGCGTAGAATATCCTTCAACAAGGTATTCTACAGCCTTGATCGAATGCCCTGGCCGTTGCACTGAATGAGAGCGTACGTTTGGACTGACAGTTTGATCAACCAATCATATATTGATTTGTAGCCAATGAGCGTATTCTTTCAGAGTTCCCCTCGGTTCCAGGGTATTCTAGAAGGCCCGCTAGTTAACTGGCTCGAGGCAGAGGATCTAGAATGCGACGAAGCAATTCATGCCGTTTTATTGTTTTTAACGTTGAAATGACAAGTGCAACAGGTGAAGATGAAGTTGTTGCGGAATTGTTGTGAGTTCCCTTTTCAAGACGGCTATTCAGTGAAAAGACGACATTATAATGCCGCGGAGGGGGGGGGGGGGGGGGGGTGTCTACAGAAGGTCCAGTTGTGATAGACACGGTTCGCCACTGTGTTGACCTAATAGTTTATTTAGGATTTGCCAAACGTTTTTACTGTTACCTTTTGCACCTTCAATTATATTGATGACAAAGTTTGCTTTGGCCTGTCTTATTGTTTGAGTTACCTTGTTACGAGCATAAGTGAATTTCTGTCTGTCAGTGGATAGTCCGGATTTCAAGCTCTGCTTTAATAGTTGGTCTCTGGATATCATTAAATTCCTGCACTGTAGATTTAGCCAGGGAAGATGACGTTCCTTCCTGTCCCTAAGGCACCCTCTTGAGAAGGAAGACATTGCATCATTAACTTTAGATATGAACAGATTACTGTTTTCACCAATGTCCACAGAGGACAGAGTGTCCCCCCAATTAATCATTTTCACTGCATCCATAAAACGTTGTTGCAGGTTTTTGGGGATGAAGCGTGAACCGAAGGCAGGGGAACCCATCGGTCGATTTTGAGGATTGACACCACTTTTGAACCGTTTGAGCCAATAGAATCGAGGGGGAAGTTCCTAAAATCCATCTAAACATTACCATTGGTGAACGAGTGATGCGCAGCCAGCATGCCCAAAACCGGAAGCTCTCATAGCAGCTATATATGAAAACTACTCTTATTGACATAAATGTTAGGATGGATTATCAGTAATCATTTCAAGTGACACAGACACATTGGATTAACCTTCCGCAGCGTTCATATGCGTTTTAATGCCATTGAACACAACTTTTGATCAGAGAACAGCAAAGGTAAGACGTATTTGCCATTTTGGCCACGTAAAGTGAAGTTGTGTGTTGTCTGGTTTCGCTTTCGCTGCTGGTCTGGTCGCACAGTGATGATACTTATACCTCTGGAATCTCAGCTTTCATATGATATCTAGTTTGTGCAGATCCGATGAAGTATAACATATGTCTACCGTAACTTATGCGCTAAGTGCGTCAGCACTCTTTTGCTTAGTGCTAATTCAGAGGCTCAGCGTTAGACTTGTGTTGTTTCGGTAAAAATGGTTCATATCGTCAGTTAGCTGAGTTTCTTCCCGTTAAGTGGGTATGACACATTAATAGGTTGTTAAATGTTAAGAAGCCCTCAGACGCTGTTTCTTGCACGATGTTGATGGGCTCCCGGGCTTAACAGGTTAATAAAAAGCTTCCTCAGGCCAACTCTTGAATCCTTCAAAATCTCTCACTTATTCACTCTTTAATCTCTGATCAACAAACTCCCCACTTTACTCACGTGGATTAGGACTACTGTTTATTAGTGGTGCACGATATTAGGAATTATGACGTCATCCCGATAAACCCGATACCAGTATTAATAGCCCCGATAATATACAATATATTTTTAGGGTAAAAAAAAGAAAGAATACTGCGGTGTGGGTGGATTGGGATGAGGGGCACTTGTTTTTCACTCGGCTCCTCCCGTTTTGCCAGTACTGTGGTATTAGTGGTTTAGGAAGAGGGGAGTTCTTCACAAATCCAGCGCTCCCTAACTCGTGCCTGGCTGTGACGTAAATGGTGTGCGGCCGTGAAGCCAGGACAGTAAACAAACATGTCGCCGGTGGTATGGGACTATTTCAAAGTTTCAGAGTTAGATAGTTCGCTTGCTATTTGTATTAACAAATGCAGAAGTTCCACGAGGAGGGAAAAAGCAACGAGCTATAATACTTCTGATTAGTCACCTGAAACATCGCCATCGCTACGATGTGTGTTAAAAGCGCACGAAGACGCCTGCGCTGCTAAACTAGCGGCGAATCCAAAGCCAGCTGCAAAGGCACCGGGGCTTTTACCTATCCACGAGGCTTTTGGAAAAGGCAAGACGTTTGCCAGAGACGACCCCAGGGCTAGTTTTGTTCATAGTAGTAATGCTCATGTCATTTGCTCACTACTAGTCTTTGTTTTACCACCAGGTGTGCAAAAACTGCAGGTACATTTAATATATATATATATATTATTATTGGTTATCGGTATCGGTCTTGAGAAGCAGGAAGTTATCGGTATCGGTTTCAAAAAACCAATATCGTGCATCCCTACTGTTTATGTTTCTTTTCTTTGTGCTGTTTCTGTTTCTGATTTTATGTAAAGCGTCTTTTAGCACCAGGAAAAGCTCTGCAAAAATGTATTATTATTATTATTAGATTCAGATGCAAAGGTTTTATTGGCATATGCACAAAGCCACAGCGTAGAAATGGCAATGAACATCTTATGACCTGAGCTCCTGCACAAGTAGTGCAACAAGTATATTATGAATGTTGCATTGACTTACTGTGCAGCTGCCTCCATTCTTGCATGGGTTGCTGTCACACTCGTTGGTCTCGATCTCACAGTTTTTCCCGGTGAATCCTGGTCGGCAGGTGCAGGTGTAGCTGCCCTGACCCGTGTTGGTGCAGGAAGCTTCGTTCTGGCACGGCTTGTGGTTCGTGCAGTAGTTCAGATCTGGATTGAGATAAAAGAGACGCAAAGGTTAGCCAACAAACCAAAAGCAGAGCCAGCGACAAGAGGAAACAAATCACTCTCCTAATCTAACTTTTCTGTCCATAGAATTACTGACACGCTAAAACGCCAAGGAGTAGTTTGTTTAGTTGCAGAGCAGCTATGTTTCCTTTACACTTCATCCAGATTCCTTGTGAAAATACCAATTAAAAGGAATACCAGCTATGCTTTTATAGCCTTTTGAAGTCAGTGATTAACCCTCTCATTATCATTTTAATGAATTTCAATGAATGTCATTAAGTCTAATTACGAGAACAGACCAAACAGCATCTGTGGTCTGACGGCTGGCTGCGAGGGAGACGATTAAACGTGTATCATTTGTGAATAAGTAGAACATTAGTCTTCTTTAACAGCCACAGTGGCAGATGTATTTGTGTGTGTGTGTGTGTGTGTGTGTGTGTGTGTGTGTGTGTGTGTGTGTGTGTGTGTGTGTGTGTGTGTGTGTGTGTGTGTGTGTGTGTGTGTGTGTGTGTGTGTGTGTGTGTGTGTGTGTGTGTGTCTGGACACTAAATGCTGAAACTGGTAGAAGATCTTCAAATCAGGATTATACAGATTCCTTCAAAACATTTCAAAATAAAACGTATTTAAGAAAACCTCCACCAGAGTACTAGACCTCATTGGGAAAGGCATGTAAACATGTTGATTGATTTCACTTTAACCTGTTAAGCCCCAAGCCTGTTTTCCAGGTCTCAGGCTCCAAAAGGACATTCCCAGAACAAATGACCATATCTTCCCTTCTCAAAGGGGTAAGTGAATAATCTTTTTTCTCAAAGCAATGATAAACCTGTGAGTTGGATGTAGAAAAGTCGGAATCAATATAGATTTTTTTATTTTAAAGTAAATTGAGATTGAACATAGTAAAAAATGTTTAATTATAGTGTCCGTCCAGAAATAAACCATTGCTTATAGTGAAAACCACCCTTGAATGATGGGATGGTAGACTAAACTATAACATATAATAAGTACCCTGTATCAAGATTGTTGCAAAACAAGTGACATTTGACCTTTTTAGAGAGATTTAGCAGCAACAAAAAAACACCTCTGGGGTCATTTGGGTGGATTTGCCGTTTCTCTGCAACCCATTGGTCGATTTTGAACCGTTAGCGCCAATAGAATCTAAGGGAAAGTTCCTAAATCCACATATACGTTCCATTGAGGAGTGAGCAGGCCCGGACTGGCCATCGGGAGGGCCGGGAGGCTTCCCGATGGTCTGGCCTGCTAAGTGGCCTGCTGGCCTGAGGAATTTCTTTTTTTAATGTATGTATTGTGAACGCAACGCTGCACAAATGTGGGTCTGACTCTGCCTCACAGAGGGTGACTGGCTGTCTACATGATGTGGCCTGCCGACATGGCCACTTTCATACAGATCATACACTAATGCCCTTGATTGGTCTCTGTGTGTCATTCAAGCTCGGGAGGGTGTGTGTATGTGTGGCGCGAGCGAGCGAGAGAGAAAGCGCGCGCACTAGGGGTGTAACGGTTCACAGAAGGGTTCGGTTCGTACCTCGGTTTGGGGGTCACGGTTCGGTACAACAAGAAAAAGCAAAAAAAAGTCCCAAATGCATAATTCCAGGTTTGTTGTTATTTATTTTTGAACAGTAGCAAGTTTCAGTTTAAAAATAAAGAACTCTGACATTTTGAATAATTAACTGTATTAAACAGTTAAAAACAAACCATACACAGTACCACATACACTCAGATGGCCATATTATCTATAATGGCTGATGTCAAACTAAAAGGTTTCATCAAGCTGTAAAACTAAAAAGAATGTCTTGAAAATGTGACATCATAAATAATAAGAAAGTGTTTCAAAAGCGCAAAGTCATTGATATGCCAAAAGCTTCCGTTATGTATTTTGGTCTCTCGGCTCTCATGTCTATTGGCTTCTTAAAAACAGCGGGGATCAGCTGTTGAACTGCTGTTGTCTTTTGCCGGGCTCCGGTGATTGGCAAATCTGGGTGATGCCTTCTGATATGATTTAGCATGTTTGGCGTGTGTTACCATTAGCATACCGCACCACTGTAGAACAACGGCGACACACCGTCCTCGTCCAATCCACCACTCGCTCACTTCATCGTTATTGTAGTCCACAGGGAACCCGAAATGTTCCCACACAGCTGATTTAAAAGAAGCAGGTGGTTCTAGCTCCTGTGTGTTATCTGAAATCGCCAGACTAACTTTTCTTCTTCTTGTATTTTGTTCGTTTTGTTGTTGTGTTGTTGTGTTTCTTCTTGTTCTTCATTTGTTGTTTAAGGGCGGCTGGCAAACAGCTTTTAGGCGCAATACCGCCCCCTGGATTATAAATAGTGTAGTGGATACTGCCCTGAATGACAGACTTTATTCCCACTCGTAAAAAAAAAGGCGTATTCGTCGTGTGACTGCGTGTGCCGAACCGTGACGGTACGGGACGAATACGGATACCGTTACACCCCTAGCGCGCACCGGTTACGTGTATTGTTGTTGTTAGCATCTGGTGCTAGCTAGCTGCGATAACGGATATCATGAGCTGTCAACAAGGTGGAAGAGAGTCCTCTGCTGTCAGACTGAGAGACTGATAACCTCAGCTCAGGTGAGGTAAAGGACTCTGAGTGTTTAGATAGTTAACTTAGTCTAAGTTCTCAGTGGGTCTCAAACGGTTTGGTCACCCTTTATGTAAACACATATTTCCATTTGAAGGGGGAGTGATTAGTAAAATATGCATGAATAATAAAAAATAAAATGTTAACTGGTGAAAAAAGGTGAGGTAAACTTTATAAACTTGTTGAGAGCTAAAACTAGTCTTTGCTGCTGCCTCAAAGAGGAGCAGGGGGAGAGGGAGACGGGTGAGGCTGGTTCAGGAGCCCGGACACACTCACAACTATAAATGAACCCAAAACAAATAAATAAACAAGTTTCAATGTTTTTTCATATTGGATATGGTGTTATTGGTTATGGCCATGTACTTATGATTTTATGATTATTTAAATGTATACAGTTCTGTTTCATATGGGTGTTGTCTCTTTATTTCCCCCTCAAAGTGCACCAGATTGATGCATTTAAGTCCAACATTTAAAACAAATCTTACCAGGGGAGCATGCCCCCGGACCCCCCTAGAGGATTTCAGGTCCACCTCCACTTAAAATATGTTCACATGTTCCTAGATGTGCACAGCAACGCCTAAATAGATTTGCACAGTAACGCTGTATATATCAGTGTGAGAAAAAGTTTTTAGAGAGTACTTGTCCATGGACAAGTGAGTTTGGCAATGTACTTGTCCGAATACATTTTTCACTTGTCCAGAATGGACAAAAATTGGGGCCACTGGAATCTTCTTCTTCGTCATCGTATTTGACATTTTCCCACGGTTTTACCGACACCGTTAACGTAAGTCAGCGGTAAGATTTTACTGCATCACACATAGGGTTGGGTATCGTTTGGATTTGAACGATTCTGGTTCTGCTTTTCGATTCCGGTTATTGTCGGTTTCTCGATTCC